GATTGGCCCGTGGCTGAACCATACGAGGAATGGACCTGTCGACGATCCCACACTCAACGCTACTGGTTCTATCGCGCTTGGTTCCACCACAAAACTCTGCCTTGGGATCACGATCACATTGAATTTTACAAATCTGCAACTGGGCATTTCATCGATGATCACCCAGCTTCTCATTGGCCACATACTTTCTCACGCATTTGGGGCGCCCGGGGCTGGCAATTAGTGCTTTCTGCCACTCAGAGTTTTGACATTTGGACACAATGCGAGCGATATGATGCCGCTCTTCGTATTGAAGAGGAACGCATTGCAGCTGAAGAAGCACGTTTCTCTTCCACCCAGCAACTCGATGACAACCCTGTTCCTCGCAGAGGCCTCAAGAGACAGGCTGTGGACAACTTGGAGCACCTCAACGCTCAGTACCAGGTGGAAGCTCTTCTGCACAATTTCCAGCATCTTGACGTTTCTAAGGTTCCAATGCTCCAGGGCCTACCCGCCCCACAACAAGAACAGCTTATCGCTGGTGTCGTCCACACCCTCACTACTTACCGCGATGAGCTTCATCAATCTTTTCGACCAGATGATCCACCCGGCCATTCAACCGCGGCCTCTTCGGCTCCTCCTGACCACCTTCCTCACACTGATCCCATTCGCGATGGCACCGGACTTCCGCTTCCTGTACCCGATTCAGCATCTATGTCGTTGAACTCCACATCGACTGAATCTCAGAACACTTTAGAGCCTCCATGTCCTCTGGAACGTTCTCATGATTGACAACAGCCTGAGCTCTACATCGTTTCCCTACACGGCAAACCCTCTTCGCATTGGCGTGAAAAGATCCTCCTCTCTTTCTCGCTTGGTTTTATTCGGGTGTTCACTCAGGATTGTAACGGGTTCTTCGGTTTTCTACCTCCAATCCTTTTGCTCCACATTTCCTGCCATTCTTTTCTGCAGCCATCGGCTCCGACTCACCTCCGCGCCTGTCTCTATCATGATTTCATCCCCTGGGCTTCGTGTACCTGAACCTTTGACACACACGATTCCCACATCTCGCACGTCATGGAGCGAAGTTCGTCAACCCTTTGAAACACTGGATATGGTGCCGGACCTCTCCACGGTCCGCTTTGAACTGGATGTCAGCTTACTCGTCTACCAACCCCTGAACTACATCAATGTGCCCTTAGATTGTCGGCAGATCGACACCAAGGAATACACTGTTGATGATCTCAAAGATGTGATCTACTCCCACTTAGGCCAACATCGAACCGCATTCTGGATGGCTCTTCCTTCAACTGGCGATTCAAGAGTATGGGAAGTTCCACACACCTGCACCCTTGTCGACCTCGTCCTTTGCTTCGTCAACTCTCGATGGGTACGTCCACTGGGCCTTTCTGCTGAATAGACCGCCTACCAGACCTACCGTGAGATCCGTCAGTTCTCCTAGTCTCACCTTACCTTCGGCATGGAGCTTAAAATCTTGCCTCCCTTCGGGGAGGCGTGTGTGTGTCACCCTTGGAGTCATAGGGATGCTTTTGCATTTGTTTTGTTTTACAGCAGGGGGTGCCAGGGATGCGCACTGGACTGGCACCAACGAAGACGCCAGTGCTGCGTCTGTGAAATCAATCCGGGACGCCGGATTGACGTACCTGCCGAGAGAGAAACCTACGTAGAGCACAAGCTGTCTACTTCGTTGTTTCCTTCAGCAAAGGGCTACTGCAGCGTTGGTTTTCCTTGAGTGCTTGGACCTTGGGAGCTTCACTGACCTCCTCGAACCGTCGTCGCCCTGTCGTCCGCTCGCTCGTTGATTACCTTTGGGACCTCCGTTGGATGGACCTCTTCTTCTTTAGATTTCCCTACCTGTTCTCTTAGGAAATGGAACCCTAGGCCGGAGTGTGGCACCGCATTCAGTTCCGTACACAATATCTCAAGTGTGTGTGAGGGTTGCGTTCGAAGGCTGCCCACCACACCATAGGCCGATTGTTTCAGACTAGCGAGTCAGGGGCAATAGATGGATCATGCGTTGAGGGGAGGAGTCTGGTAGGAGTGTGCAAATTTGCACATCAGGACTCTTGGGCAGTGCGATGAAGGATCTGAATGGGCACTGTAATCCTTGCGAACACCTGTTGGTTTGGACAATTGGCAGCCATTCTTTTGGCTTGAAGGCACTGAGGGCACTTCACTCACTTGATCGTCAAAGGCGTCGAGTGTGCAGGTTGCTCACCCTGAGAGAAGACATTCTGCGGCAATTCGGTCCTGTGCGTTGCTGGCCGGAGAACACTGCCAAAAGTCTTGTCCCTTGCAAAGTGGTCAACTTCCAAAACCTCTAGCTGGCAGAGGGTGCGTGAACCATGCCACCTCTTGCTATGTTAGTAGCACTTCTACAGCTACAACTTTAAAACTCCACCAAGGCAACGGCTGCTCTGCAATGGCCGAGAGCGCAAGGATGGGAAGGAGACGTCTTCGGCCTCAGAGTCACTGTAGTACAGGTCTATATAACAAGGCTCCTTTAAAGGGGGCATTACTAATGAGGCCCTTAGCATCTTTTCCTCTTTTCATTTTTCTTCTATCATTTTGAAGGATTTTCTAGTTACGCTGAAAGGCTTGGAAGCGCTGGAGTGGGGGCGAAAAGCAAGCTGATGCTAATGTGATGCCCTTGGTACATCGGATGCCATGGTCATGGTGGCTTTAGGAGATCTTGGTTACCTTCAGAAATGTGGGTCACATGTGCCGCAAGATTGAGTCAATTGGTGTAGAGAAGCCACAAACTCTGGACAAATGCAATTTGCAATTGGCATGACACAGCACATGACATTCAAAAGAAGAGGGTGCAAATGTGTTCAACGTGCAAGGCTAGCCTGCTGCCCAAGTGCACCAGCACACTAACCCTCCTCCTTCCTTGCTCCCTTGTCTTCAGGTGGCATAGCTGCAAAACCCAGCCCGCCCTCCCCTTGATTGGCCTAAGTGCCTGTCCTGAAGTTTGCTGGCCTGCCAGCCTTTCAGGGTGGTACCTGCAGGTTGGCTTGGTCTTGTGTGTCGACCATTGCAATTAAAGGGCGCAAGGGGAGTGTGGAGGGTTACTGTAGTTCACGTTTTCGCCGCAGTCCTGCTAGCAACGAAGTGGAACGTGCAGGTGTGATGGGAATGGCACAAGGCAGCACTCACCTCATCGAAGCCACCAGAGACGTACTTGAGGGAAAGCGGCGGTGAAGGGCTGAAAAGCTGGTGAGCCAGCAGCCACCGTTCTCCGCTGGCTGCAAGTCGGTCCAGCTCGATGGCATCACAGAAACTGGAGAGGTCAGCCAAAAGTGTGACTCCATGCTTTTGGTGATTTGACTGATTGGCCAGGTCGAATTCGATCATATTTAAGAGCCTTCGGCAATCCAAAAGTCGGTCAACGCAACTGGTTAAAATGATAGGTCTCTCAAAGCGGGTGTTCTTGGCCAACGTGCGTGACTGATTGGACCGGACCAGTTGGAAACTGCCTGCAGCTCCATGTAGCTTACAGCGCGTCATATGAGACTCCATCCCGGCTCTCCAAATTGCGTTGCCATTGGGATTTGCAGTTGAAGTTTTCTCTTTTTGGAAAGGTGAATCTGGAGAACCTTGTTCTGTATGTAGCGTTTACAATGGGGAAGGCCAGCAGTCATGACTTAAATACTGACTTTTGCAAATCGGCGTTCCATGGTGGTTTAGTATCCCACATGCAAAATGTATTAACTTCAACGGGCACCAGTACCCAAACTGTCTGGCTATGGGCTCTGCAGGAAGCTGCGTTCCACGTCGTCCGCGGACCACTGTGCTTTTTAGGAAACCTGCAGTTCTTGTTGTTGAAGTTCTGTCAGCATCGCTCCCAGCTGAGTATTGAAAGGGGTGAATTGTCCGGGTCGGCAGTGACACCCTCCACTTGAGTTGGTGCGTTTGACCCACCAACTGCACGCACTCATTGGAGGTGGGTATCAAGGCTTGGCGGCGCTGTGGTGTTGTTGTCGCTGTTGTTTGCTCGTGTTGGCAATGGTCTTCTGTCGCAGCCTAATGCTGAAGGGGTGGGAAGAATCTTTGGCCAGAGAGGCGTTGGGCAATTTCCTTCGCCCTTGCCTGGCTTCTAGGGTCTACCTTTTGTTTGTCCACATGCCATTTCAGCATTGTGAACCCTTACAAACGGTATAGGCTCTGCACGGAGTCATGATCACTTCACCGACCACGTTCTGGCCGATGTCCAAGGCGAAATGACCTTGCCGTAGAAGGTGACTAGAAGAGTGGCCTGGAAAAACAAAGGACCTTGGTGGTGAGGATCTGGAAGGATAATGGGCAAGTCGAGCTGGTAAGCGCGCTTGTCGTTGGAAAAGCCTGTGCCCTCCCCATTTCCACTTCGATCGCTGACAAAAACTGAGATGCCCTGGGGGGTGGCAATGGCAGTGGCGCGAGGGGGAATGTCAGGGAAATCTTGTTGCGAGGGGCTGTGCGAGGTGCACGACCTGTTTTTTAGTTTGGTTTGTCTGTTTGTCTGTCTGTTTGTTTGTGTGTAAATTGACAGACACATAGTTGGAACCAAATCCAGAAAATGAATCACATTCTTCCACCAAGAAACTGCAAGTGCACACGCATAGCGGCAAAACGTTCTACTTAGAAGCTAAGCACTGAGAATACTTAGAACCAAAGTGAGGAATACTGAGAACCGAAAACCAAAAACAAAGTTAGAGCACGAGAGCTTCCTCCGTCGACAGGACAGAGAGTACTCCCTGCTGCCTGCCTGCCTGTGTCACTCTCTGTCTCTGTCTCTGTCTCGGTCTCGGTCTCGGGGTCGGTCGGTCGGTCTGTCTGTCTGTGTCTGTGTCTGTGTCTGTGTCTGTGTCCGTGTCGCTGTCGCTGTCGCTGTCGCTGTCTCTGTCTCTGTCTCTGTCTCTGCCTGGCTGTCTGTCTGTCTGTCTGTCTGTCTGTCCCTATCTGGTGAAATTGAGGGCACGGGGTGCCACGGTTTGCTGAGGCTTGCGCCGGGTTACAGCATGCCGGCGGCGCCAATAGCGTCTGCAAGCCAAGAGGTGGCTCCAGAGCCTGAGGAGGCACACGTGGGGAGATTGGAGGAGCAAGCGTTCGAAAAAGGCCAGACTTGCAGCTGGATTCCGCTAGACTAAGCACCTGGAAGAGAGCGTGAAGAACGTTAGTCAATAGTCGACAGACAGTTTAATAGTTTAATGCCTCATGTGAGGCTGAAGCTGAAGCCGTCGAGCTGGAGGGGGAGCTTCCAGGGGCTACCGGGGCCATGGCCCAGGCCAGCCAAAAAAAGGTGCGATTGTGAGCATGAAGTGTGAGCAACATAAGCGCCGACACAAACATCCCTTTGGCCGCGCCTTTTGAGGCCAACATCGCCATGGCCATCCTTGTTTATATAAAGAGGGAATTAAGACAAACATGGCACAAAATCTGGAACACAAAGCAAGAAAGGGACATGCCATTCCGAGTGCATGCCGAAGAATGGTCAGGGCCAGAGGTAATGAATGCTGAGTGCGGGTAATTGATGGTTCCGCTTTGCCAACATTCTCCATTTGCACTTGCAACAACAGATCCTTTGCGTGAAGGAAGGCCCAAAACGCTAAACTCATTCACGCAGACATTCTTAAAGGATTGTGTCGAGAAGTTGGGGTTGACGGGCATCCTCAGTTGATGGACAAGTCTTCCATGATGCAGTAGGTTTGTCTTGAACCAGTCAGACATCTAACTTTACCGGGCAGTGACGCTGAAGGGGGCGCTGTGAGCAATTTGGGATGCAAAGAACCGGCCCTTTCTTAGGTGAGGTGAACATGTCTTATGGACTGCAAATTCAGCCCATAGCGCGACAAGGAATCCTTTGTCCTGCCACTTGAGGCGAGCGCTAAAGAGCTCCAGAAAAACCCTGGCCCGACAAACCAAACAGCAGCAAGGGCAAGGGCCCAAGGTTTTGCTGCAACTACACCATGGGCCACACGATCAATGGGAGATCAGATGCGATTGAGGAAGTGACGGTGAGGGGGTGCATGTGCCCCTAATTCATTTTCACCTTGGACGCGACCGAAACATATCCTTTGGCTTATATTACGAAAGCCAGCCGATAGGCTAGGCTGGAGTTGTCGATCGCATTAGTAATCCCCCCTATGAAAAATATTTTCATTTTTCGGGCTAGTCAAAACTCTGAACCTTAACAAAAAACCTCCAGGCCATTTGGCAGAGGGGATAATAGTAGTAGTAGTAGTAGTAGTAGTAGTACTAGTACTAGTACTAGTACTAGTACTAGTAGTCGCCGCAGTAGCAGTAGCAGTAGCAGTAGCAGTAGCAGTAGGAGTAGGAGTAGCAGTAGTAGTAGTAGTAGTAGGAGTAGCGGTAGCAGTAGCAGTAGCACTAGCAGTAGCAGTAGCAGTACTAGTAGTAGTAGAAGAAGAAGAAGTAGTAGTAGTAGTAATAATAGTAGTAGTAGGAGCAGCAGCAGCAGCAGTATTGAACGGGGTATAGAAAGTCAGAAGATGAGTGTTGACGGGGCCGCAGTAGCAGTAGCAGTAGCAGTTGAAGTAGTAGTCGTAGTAGTAGTAGTAGTAGTAGTAGTAGTAGTAATAGCAGCAGGAGCAGCAGCAGCAGCAGCACAGCAGCAGGAGGAGGAGGAGTAGTAGTAGTAGTAGTAGTAGTAGTAGTAGTAATAAGTAAGTAGTAGGTAGTAGGTAGTAGGTAGTAGGTGGGTAGGTAGGTAGCAGGTAGTAGTAGGTAGTGGGTAGTAGGTAGTAGGTAGTAGGTAATGGTAGTGGGAGTGGGAGTGGGAGTGGGAGTGGTAGTAGTAGTGGTAGTAGTAGTAGTAGTCGTAGTGGTAGTGGTAGTGGTAGTCGTAGTCGTAGTCGTAGTGGTAGTCGTAGTAGTAGTAGTAGTAGTAGCAGTAGGAGTAGCAGTAGGAGTAGGAGTAGCAGTAGCAGTACTAGTACTAGTATATAGTACTAGTACTACTACTGCCTTCATTCTGCTTGCATTTGCTTTCGTTTTGCTTTCGTGCTGCTTTCATTTTGTTTTCATTTGGTTTCATTTAGCTTCCATTCTGCTTTCGTTTTGACATAGATTTACAATTGAGGAATCAAACTTTTATCAGTTTTCAGGCCTGGATGTTGGCGCCATAAAAACTAGTATTGTAAAGTTCTGGCAGGCCAAAAAGCTAATTGCTATTGTCAAATAGTCTATTACTGGGATGTTACCATTATTGAAGGGTTGACTCGCGACAGCCGGCCAGGGGCCCACGGTGCAGGTTACGCGCGCCGGTGCGTCTAGCATTTTTTCCGTCGGTTTTCCATCTATGTTGACCTGGCATCAAGATGCAATTTTTTTCCGTCCCGGACCCTTTGTCCGAGGCCAAAACCCGGTAAAAACAACGATTTTTTCACACGCAAAGTTAGAATCCGGCCCCATCCAAGCGCACGAAACACTGTAAAACGATGTTTTCAAACACCACGCGCAAAAAGACATTGTAAAGCACGGTAGCGTAGGGTGCCCTGCCTGGGTCGGCGGTGGGTCGGCAGCAGGGGGTGCAGCCCCTCTCTCCTTCGGAGAGGAGAACCCTTCAAGATGCCACGGCAAGTTGGGGTGGGCCCCTGGCCGAATGAGGGGGTATGGGGGGTGGTCGTGTAGGGGGACAATGTGGTAGGGTGAGCCCAGAGCCTGGTGGGGGTGGGGGGGAGCAAAAAAGGAGGCGGCCCAAGATGCAATTGATGCTGAAAAGTGTATCATCAGCATCATGAGGGTTCCGGAGGCTATTTAAGCAGTCTCCGACCTGGGGTGGGAGTTCATGTTGAGGACAGGCAAGGGGGATAGCGGGACTGCAAAGTGGTTGGAATTCTTTCAGGACAGTGAGATGCGCGTCTCCCAACACTTTGTTTTCTTGTGGCTAATATGAGTGGAAGGGCTTGCAAGAAACGATGTGACCCGTTGAGGACAGGAGAGGGAACAGAATGCAGTGGGCATGCGTTGAGTTGCTGGGGGATAGCTTTGCTTGGGGGGTGCCCTTTTTTGATGGTGAAGAGGCTGGTTAACCAGACGCAAAGGACACCCGATATGGGGTGGGAGTTCATATGGTCATATGGAGGACAAGCATAGCGGGGGAGGAAGTGATAGGAAAAGAGGTGAGGAGCTCATAAGGGAAGCGAGAAGTGCGTCACTCAGCGCTCTGTGTTCCCGTGGGTAAGAGGAGTAAGAGGAGTAGTGAGTAGAGAGAACGTGACCCCTAGAGTGGATAGGAGACGCAAGGGGGCAACGTGACAGGAAAAGAGGTTGGAAACAAACATTTTTAAATCCATTTGCTGTACATAAATTGCTTGGGGCTGGACAATCTTTGGCACGTGTTCCGCCGCATTATCGCTCTCGACGGACGTTACTGCGCAAGATAGTGACGATGACGCCTGGAAAGTCTAAAGGAACTCAACCCTTGCCGAATTGTTCTGCCCGGGGTGGCCACCAACGCTGCGGAAGAGACGCGGAAAGGATTACAGGGATACAGGTACATGTTGCCCTACAACTGACATTCTTGTATGCAATTGAGTTTCCAGCGGGCGCACATGTGACGGGCTGGTCAGTGAATCGCACTGCAGAAAAGAAGGTCAGAGCACCGCAGGGAGAAAGTCAGGGATGCGCTGCAAAAGATGAACATGCGTCCGTGCCCATGCTCGCCTGCTCTAGAATAGGGGGCTGTATTGGGTGGATAAAATCCATGGCGTCTGACCCAAGGCTTTATCCGGGTGCCAGCCTCTGAACATTTTCAATCATATTTAAGTCCTTCCAGCTGTCAACCGCAACCTGAAATTGTGACCTACCTAAAAAGGGTGTCTGTCCCTTGAAATAATCCCCAGCCTACGGGCTGGAGCCGCGGTTGACTGTTCCAGCCCCTTCCAATGGGTCAACCTGGCTTTGGTTGACCTTCTCGGGGCCCAAGCAGTCAACCCTTAGGACAACTTGGCGCCCCAAATCTACAATAAGACAACTTACGTCCTAGTAGTTTTGTTGATTTTTGAGGTCGCAAAAATGCGAGCTATGCAGGGCGGGCTCCTTGCACAACCAGCATCTCCAGCTTCCAGTTGCCACACCGCCCTCCCCAAAACTCTTTCTACTGTATTTCTATTGTTTTCTGGTGTGTCTGGATGTTGTTTTCTAGGTTTCCATCCATGTGTTCTGGCTGAAAGCCTGTTCACAGTCTGAGTGATGTCCATTGTCATTGTTGACGTCTTCTTTTTTGCCTGAATGAATTTGAACACCAGCCTCTCAAATTTATCCACGTGATCTGGCTGAGAAAGGGTCAACCCCCACCAAAAAACCATGTACAGATCCTAGGTCCCAGTAGCCAGCCAATAGCCTAGGCGATGAGATCTCCACAGCAATCTTTCCGTCATTTTAGGCAATCACATGATCTTTGTGCAGTAGACTTCCATCGGTCCGCACTTGGCGGCGCGCCAAGTTTTCTACCTCCATCTACAAGACACGAATCACGAACTGCAGGCAAGCCAGTTCCCCGTCGGCGTTGCTGCAATGTCGACTTCACCCCTTGACAAAGCTTCCTCTGCCTTTTATGGGCCCCATGCCCCACAGCGCTTCCAGTGCTCTCTTGCACTCACCCCCCATGACCATATTGATGTCTTCTTCAGAGGCTGGCTTTCGTCCCTCCCTTCTCAGGTAATCTCACACACACACAGATATATATATATATATTACAGTCTGTGTAGATGAAAAACGCATATACATACACACAGTTCGTTGGGCAGCCGATTTGGCCGGCCATGTGTTGCGAGCATATTCCTCTTCCAGAGGCTCATAGATAATTTCTTTGATGTTCAATGACCATGAAGATCCTTATTGTCACGGCGACTTTGCACGTGGTTCTGTTCGAGCCCTTTTCCGTTTGTGTGTCGTAGTTCTGAACACATCATTCATTTCAGTTCGAACCAGTTTTGAATTTTTCAATTTCAGTATGTATAGCAGGCCCCTTGGGTGTAAATAATGAACCAACTCAACAAGTATACAGTAGATACACAAATAGAGAAACAGATACAGTATAGATACCACAGGGTGATCACCATTTGTGCACGTGATTTTGGAATATTTTGGATGGTTGGGACGCAGGGCAGTTGGGAGCGGTAACCCTGCGGCAGGCTGTGCCATCCGTCTTGGTCCGCCAAGGGCTGGGGCCTTACAAGATGGGACCCAATGTCCAAGCAAGACCTTGCCTCCCGAATCTTGGATTTTTTTTTATCGTTTTGAGCTCAGGGGCAGCCAGTGGGGCGGAAGTTTGAAAAGTAGTGATCATGTCATGGTGCGATATCCAGTGATGATGCAAGGTGCTTTGCTTTGTGCGTTGCATCTTGGACGGAGCGGGGTCTCCCTTTGGAACACCAGCGCGCACCACCACTCACGGACCCACACTAGATGGATGCATCGCCACTGAGATGCCTCGTGATCGGTATTGCTCAGATATGCGCCGATCCATCTCCACTCTGCACCACTGAATGTCACCTTGCGCCAATCTTCCACAGCCCTGGCAATGCGCTTTGAATCCATCCAATTAGTTCTGTACCAACTTTCCAACCTGCCATTGCGTTTCAATCAGGTTCCTACAGAACTGCGACCCCAAAACACACCTGAGGCCAGCACAGTCCAGCACATTACGCCGACTGCGTCCGCACCTCTCTAGCAGGTGTCCAGTTCGTGCCAGGTAGACTTCTTTGCCGCCCTGCTCTCTTCATTCATTACTCTCTCTCTCTCTCTCTTTCTCTTTCCTGCGCGGGCACCTATGCATCCGTGTGTCCAAGAATGAACTCCCCATCACAATTTACGTGCCCGCTTTGTCGCAGCGGAGGAGACATCGATATAAAGTTCGAGTTCCACAAGGCTTAAAAGAGGCTTGACCGGTTGAGATGCAGAGAAATAGTCCGCCCTGTTTTTGTCACATTGGTAACACTTCTCCACAACCATGTGCTGTAGCAAAATTCTCCTTCCTTGACACTGAGTCCATGCTTTAACCGGCTTCCCCTGAGCTGATGGCCTAGCTGATGGCCTTGCTTCAGCTCCATCACCTAAAGCGCGTCAAACTTCGGAATGCAACATGGAGCGGCAGGCCACCTTCGGTGACTTGGCAGATTTTTTGGCAGCGCAAATGCTGCCGCCAGGAATTCCGTCGTGTGGGGCCTAATTGCTTTCCATTGTGGCATATAGCCATTTTCGCCTCTTTGTTCATGTCGTGGCGTAGTCATTTGTCAGCAGGCACAGTGGGCACCACCAAATTGAAGTTGATTTGTGCTATGTTTGGCTGGATAAATTTCATCAAATTCAACCGCTGCAGGTCCGAGCTCCGCCTCATTTCCAAGGGCAAAACGGCCTGGCACTCTCAGCTGTTGTAGAACACGAGGTCTAGGATTCGGAAGATCAGTAGAACAGTGAACGTACATTCTTCACGTACTAAATGCATTCACTCCCGGTTGACCATTTTGCCCGATGACGGAAGGATTACTGTATACATTGCATTTACACCTTTGGCCCCTTTGCCAATTTGCCCCCTTGACTGCTTGAATGGTTGGTTCGGACTGCAAACAAAGTATGCTACATCAGAAGTCTGATGCCCTGGCGGGCAGCTTGGCAAGGGGTCGTGTGAGGCATCAAGAGATGAGCCACTGAGCGATCAACAGAGCTGCAAAGATATGTCAAGCCCTCAGTAGCTCACTTCGACTTAGCAGAAGCACGATGTGGAGGACCGATGCTGCAGGCTCTGTGCAGGCAGTCGTGCCATTCTGCCACATGCCCTAAGAGTCACGGAACTTTTTCAACCTCCCAAGCAAGTGGCAATCTGCCGTCTAAAGCACTAGTCACTATGCTCCCGTTGTAGTGCCCACAGCCTCATGTGTCCTCATCACCTCGCTAAAAGCTCAGGTCTGTGATGCTGCTCTTCAGGGAGGGCTTTCATGTTGCCGCATCCCCAAGTACGGTGGAGATTGAATCGAATTGACTTGCATTGCTCCACTGGCTGCCACTTGCCGCCACGAGACCAACAAGTATTTGGCACACTGGTTCGATTTCAGGGTGCTCTCTCTCAAGTATTTTGACACAGCGTGCCAGTGTAAACCACCTCTACGACTACGGTACTACGGCACGAATGTATATAGAAATTATTTGATTGGAGCTTTTCTTCTACTATGGCTATGGGTGTTTCTGATGAGGCCGCTGAGGGGGCGCGTTGGATGGCTGAAAAGGGTGAGGAGCTGGCGCAGGCCAGAAGCCAAATGTGGACAATCGTGTTTCATGTGAATGGTGCCTCCAGTGCTTCAGTGCATAGGGTGCCTAAATGGCTAGCTTGTATGTGGGGTCCATTTAACAAGGTTCCTTTTGCTGCCGCCTCAGCTTTTTTCTTGTTGCTTCTGTGCTTGAATGCTCTCCCTTGCTCGCTGGCTATTGCTGGTAATGAACATTTCATTACCCTATATACATCCCTATCACGAAAGCTAGCGAAGCTAGCTGGAGTTACTCTTGCGATAGCAAGGTTTCTTTCGATCGGGTGCAAATCCTAACCCCTGATTTTTCAGGTCGAAGCCCCCCCCCCC